ACCACACGCGTGGGGTTAAAGGAATATATACTTTATATTAAAGCAAACAATTATTATTTCAAAATAATTACAAAATTAAAAATTAACCGATGAGCTTTTAATTATTATAAAAATTAGAAGTGAGACCTGACAGAAACATTAAAAAGCTAAATATTAACATAGAAATATAACATGTTTGAAAGTTAATATTTTATAAATTAATATTTACCCCAATTGATAAAATTAACACTGAAACTTTAACTTTAACTTGGTATTTACATATTTATATATATATATATATATATATATATAATTGTTATATAATGTTTTTTTTATATCAATTATCATGCTTTGCAAATCAAATTTAAAGGAATATTGTATTATGCTATAGTATTTTGGCAATTACAAACTTATTCATCCCTTAAAAAAATTAACTCGTACTCATGTTAATTAATTTTAATAATGTCACTCGTGAAAAAAATCAAGTAATAGATGTCTCAATATCACAAATTTAAAAAGTAATAAATGTTGAGAGATATAATTTATGATAATTGGAGCAAAATAATTTTAATTAAAAAATATAAAGTTAAAGACCCTTATTATGTCACTACAAAAGCGTTATAAAGAATTTAACAAGGACTAAATAGAATTAAAAAGTTAATTATAAAAATTAAAAAAAATATTTTAAATTATAAGACTAAAAAGTAAAATAAGTAAAATAATAAGAACTAATTTTTATTCTTCTCTACTTCTATTCTAAAACAATTAACATAAAAACTACTTTTTTTCTCATCTCATTTTTTCTCCTATCAACTTTTACAAACAAATAAAGAAATGTCTTCTCTAAAAGGTATATTGGTACCAAATATCTACCAATTTTACTAATAATTAATTTTTGTTAAACAAAAGACCTCCTTTTCAACTATATATATTTTTTCATTTACATTATTTGAACTCAAAATCTTACTTAAAAAATTGAGCAAATTATGTTATTCTATATGAGAAATAAGAGTGTTATTCTCTTATGTTAAAATATAAGACTTAATCCTTTTATTTTGACATAAAAATGAACAGTGTTGTAATATTTATATATCTTAAGAGATGTTAACATAAAAAATGTTTTGAATAATAACTTTTCTTTATCAATGAATATAATTTATATAGTGTCTCAAAATTGATAATGAAGGACTAATTTAAATAATAACTTTAAAGTTAAAAGAAACTATAAAAAATAGGTGAAACATCATATATTGAAATCTATTAAAAAAAATATAATTTTTAACATGAGAGAATAATAAGGACAAAATTTAAGTTTAAGTATAGTTAATATTATTTTTCGATCATAGTTTTAACTTAATATTATAAATAAATATATATTAATGAGAATAACATCTTTGACATTTAAAAATGATACTTAAATTTTATTTATAATATAACTTTTTAAAATGACATGTACTAGTAGTGTCTTAAAATTAATAATTAACGACTAATTTAGTGGTAATAGAATATGAGCTCAGCATTATTCTAACTCCAGAGAGATTTAATTTTAAAATAAATTATATAATATTTAATCTATACCGTATAGTTGTATTGTATTTAACGGATCCTATTATCGCTGGAGACTAGAGATAGGCCCGAGACTGGGTTGTACGAATGATCCAAATTCCAAAGTTTCGTGATTGTCGCGATTAGATTTACCTTATTATTATTATTATTATTTAAATTTTAAAATTTAAATTAATCGAATCCAAGGCTTTAACGCGAACGCGTGTCACCCAAAAAGAAAAAGTGAACATGTGATTCTCGCTAATAGATCTAGCTATTCATTATTTATAAGTCCAAGGCTTCATTCGTACAACACATTGGTGGTTATGGAGTGCGAACTCATCCCAATTAAGCACGTACTTGCAAAACTCCCATGGAGTTCTAGAACATGCCACCAACGATGGGTAAGTTCTTCATTTTTTTTTAATTTATAATTATAATTACCTTTATAGCTGATTGAGTTTAAACCATTTTATAGTTTTTAATATGATTCTCACTGCAATGTCCCCCAAGAGTTGTAAATTCTTAGATCTGAGCTACATGCTCAGTTAAAATTCATATATTTTGTTTGAATGTGATTATTTCATGATCTTTGTTATTGTTTAACTCAATGTAGTTGAACTAGTTGTGAATTCTCAAGATCTGAGATATATTGTGTTCCTATAGGTATGAGAACCTGTGGTTAGCAAGAAGATTTTTAAAGACACCTCTGCTGAGAAATATGTGGCAAGGAGTATCTATGGGTTTTGTTGAACTGGCCGTTCATGTTGTTTGAGTGAACACATATCCACTTCTTTTGTGTGATGCTCCCAAGCAATGAAATTCAAATCACCTTGCTTCCATGGTTTGAATGATATGCAAGGCCGAAATTTGTAGTACCCGTTGAATTTTTTGTTAAACTTGCAACTTCTACAAATTGGAACAACATAATTCATTTCATTTGAATGTAACCCCAGCAACATGAACCCTAGTTGCACAGCAGTTCAGTTTTACTTACTTATTTACTAGTATTGATATTGACAACAAATTAACAATAGATAAATACTGGCTTTATTGGTTATTGTCCCAGCGAATAGATGAATGAGCAAGTTCAAAAAAGGGAGATAGGTTGGCCTTTGAGTTAGAGCTCATAGGGGAGAGTGTCATAGCCCTATCTTCTGTATGTGTTAATCCCAATTTCACCAGGATGAAATTGGAATAGAAGTACTTGAGATAACTTAAAGACAACGAAAATCCATATCTGGTTTTCTAATGGTGTGAGATCGCTCAAGACAATTTTCATTTCCTGCTGCTTCACATCTTGGGCAGGGAGGGAGCATGTCAGTTTTTAGTCTTAAACACCATTTATGGGATGTGAAGTGGAAAATGGAAATTATCTTGAGCAACTTAACATTATTAGAAAACTAAATAAACACTTTTCATTCTCTACAAGTTGTTTCAAGTGGGGAACCTGGTATTATCACTTATATTTGTATTACAAAAGGTCTGATTCTATCTCCCCTCCCCGCATTTTAGCTCTAACTTTACACCAAACACCGTTATTGCCTCTCACTTTCTTGAACTAGCTCACTCGTACATTTTCAGGGAGAATAACCAGTAAAGCAGCATCATTCATTTGTCATCGTCATATCAATAGCAATATTAGCAAACAAGTGAAACTAATTGGCTATGCTAGTAGGCTTCAAGCCATTGCATTTACATTCAAAATGTGAGAGAATTTCTTATTCCAATATTTAGAAGCAGGAAGTTATAAAATTCAACAACATAGGAGTATTGCAAATTCCCACCCTGCATATCACTCAAACTATGAAAGTAAGGTAGCAGAATATCATTGCTTGGTAGCATCATAGAAAGAAATGGAAAAGGAGCGTATATTGGAGATGAATGGAGGAACAAACAGGTTCAATATGAATCAAAATTGTCATTGAGTGGCTGGGGAGTTTGTGTACAAGCAGAAAACAAAAAGTAATTATTGTAGATAGTTGTTGGGAACACAGGGCTCAGAGATTTTAGTCTCTACTGAGCAGGAGAGACCGCAGGGCATCTGGCATCTTTGTAGTATTTAGCTTTTGTGCAGCTGTGATTCTCTGTGCAACGCTTTTCAGATTGGTGGCTCTGGTAATGAGTTTATATCTTTTGCAACATCCAAGGTTTAGAAGCAAGCTGCTAGTGCAGATAGTTTACTCTGATCTTGCTTTGCATAATTTTAGTTTGTTATACATTGTTACAGTTTGCAGTTTATACATTTTCTGTTTTAATATCCTTTCTTACTTCAAAATTATTAGTCCCTTTAAGTTCCATATCATCAGAATGTGACTTGGCAAACACTCTAGGGACCAGATTGCGATAGTGTATGAATGATTCATCCTTTTATAGCATAATTGCAATGATAGCTATCCGTGAGACATGTTTAGACAAATGCCTTCATTTCTGAATTAAATCATTGAATACAACATCAAATACTAGGGCAGAATTTCACGTAATTATGATTTGGTTAAATTGCATTTCTGGTCTCTCTATCATATCAAATCTGCAATTTGGTCTTCTATTTTTAAATTCACAATTATAGTCCATCAATTTTATAAAACTCCTAATTTTAGTTTCGTCGTTGAATGTTCATTCGTTTATTAGTTAAAACTGTAACAATTGTTGAATGTTCATTCGTTTATTAGTTAAAACTGTAACAATTGTTGTGATCTAACATTATATAGATAACATAATAATTAATATTTAATAATATTTATGTTAGATTGCACTTTTAGTTTTCATTTTCATTTCATTTCCATCTCATTTTATCACCTTTATGAGATCAAAATGAGAACTAAAAATAAAATTTAGCCTGAATATTATTAAATATTAATTGTTATGTCATCTACTTAATGTCAAATGCTCAAATACAATTTTAATGATTAATAGATGAACATTCAATGAGGGGACCTGTAACACCCTCTACCCCAACATACATATACAATAGTTATAAAAATAAAATTTTTCATCATTAAAAATCAAATCTCCAACCACATAAAGGTAAAGAGTTCACATTCATAAACTTAATCCAAATAACATGTTAGTGAAATTACAAGAAATAAAACTGAGTTTTCAAATAGTTAATGGAAATAACATCCTAAACTAAGCCGAGTTATGTCCCAATGTCACATATCCTATCAGAGTATGTCCAACTGAAGCCTAAGCCTCATCATCAACATCTTCACGCCGATGATTACTTACAACACAATTTAACACCTACAAATAACAACAAGGGAGTGAGAAACATCTCACTCAGGTTCAGGTGCAGAAATAAAGGTTAGATAGCACACACATATACAAAAACATATTACAAGTTACAAGCACCAATCACACATAATCAATACACATACATAATCAGTACCACATGTACACTCATTTATCATGCAATGATGTCATAAACTCGACTCATAAATGCATGTGGCGCCAGTCACGTGTCTCATAATCACATTTCTCATCATTTCATCACTGGTGACCCAAGGTACGTCTTGTTAGCTTGTTACATCACCAATGACCCTAAGGTACACCTTGTTAGCTTGTTACATCACCGATGACTCTAAGGTACACCTTGTTAGCTTGTTACATCATGAGTCACCCTAAGGTACACCTTGTTAGCTTATTACATCACCAGTGATCCTAAGGTACACCTTGTTAGCTTATTACATCATGAGTGACCTTAAGGTACACCTTGTTAGCTTATTACATCATGAGTGACCCTAAGGTATACCTTGTTAGTTCATATATGCACATGATGCATGTCACACGTTCACAAACTCATGGATTCATCATTTCACTTGTCACGGAATTTCATGTCTTATCACATTTCACATTCTCATAGTCATAGTGTTCACATTAGCACATTCTCATTCACATCATGTCTCATGTCATTTGTTCATATATCACATAGTCATTCATACTCATAATTGTTCATCATAGGGTTTCGCACAGGAACCCACAAAACGCTCTAATTTATATAAAAAACATATCTAATTTTGAAATCAAATACATATTTACACTCTACATCACACAAGGAACGCAACAAAGCATTTAGAAAGCAAAACATAAAATATTCATATTTTGCCTGTTTTTCATAGGGTTCTCTCAATAAACCACATAGCACTATAGTTCATATCAAAACATATTTATTCTCAAAATTAATTACATATTCACACATTACATCCAACATGAAACACAACAGAACAATCAAAAGACAAAACAAAAAACATTCATATTTTGACTGTTCCTAGAAGCATGCATCAGGCAAGGGATTGAGGGCTAATCCTACTACCTAACAATTATTTCCACACCCCCGAACGAAATTTCTCACTCCCCCCTTACCTGGATAAGTAGAAGATGAAGCTAGAGCAAAATCTGACCGATCTCCTTCTCTGGATTTTCCTTGGTCTCTAGAGAGTGTGTCCAGAAACAGTGCTAGAGTGCTCTATTTATAGATTTCAGGAGTGGTCAGAACAGTCTGTTTCGAATCTAGAACGGCCCGTTCTAGATACTTTCAACATGTGTAAACTTGGCATCTGGAACGGCCCGTTCTAAAATCAGAACGGCCCGTTCCCAACTAGGGTTATAGACTATTTTGGTGGTTTGGAACGACTCATTCTAGTTTGGAAACGGCCCGTTCTGGGCTACCAAAAATAAGTCTTTTTAATAGTTTGGAATGACCCGTTCCAATTTGGGAACGGCCCATTCTGGACTACTAAATCACCCTCAATAAATCTTATAAAAATTACTAAATTACCTTCCATAAAAAGTATGAAAATTGGGATGTTACAGGACCAAAATTGCAGATTTTATAAAATTGAGAAATTAAAATTGCGAATTTAAAAATAGGTAGATTAAAATTACAAATTTGATATTATAAAGAGATCAAAAGTGCAATATAGAATTATGATTTTGATTGTGCTAGACTACTAAAAGAGGGCTAAACTAGGTAACTTAATTCTACAAGGGAAATAACTAGTAAAAAAGAAAATAATGCTAAATTCATTCATTTTCTTCATATTATTAATTACATCATAATGTTATCTTACATAACCAATAGCCACAAACCTAATTGCATGACAACCTTACAAGTGTCATCATCTAAGGGAATTAAAAGAAAATTTAAAAAATAATACAATATAATATATTTAAAATAAACTAACTTCATCCAATAAAATCTTTAAGCCATTTTATTTTGGGTCTAGAGCTGGGTTTAAAGATTTTATTGAATGGAGTCAGTTTATTTTAAATATATTATATTTTATTATTTTTGTAATTTCTTTTTGATTCCGTAATAGTGTTTGGTTGGAGGGGAGGGAAGGAGTGAGATTTTTTTAAATTTGTCTTATTTGGTTAAAATATTAGGATAGGAGGGGAGCAAAATCTTTCTTAACCCAATTTTAGCTCCCCTCCGATATTGGGAGGATTTGGAGGGGAAGAGATTTTAAAACATGTGTAGTATAAGTATAAAGTATACTTATGTTCTTAAATTTAAAATTATAAGGATACAAAAATAAATTGGTTTTTAAAATTCTTTTCCTATCCTTGTAAACTAAACAAGCAAAGAGTTATCTCACCTTCCCTCTACCAAACAAAATTTCTAACTGCTCCCCTCCACTAAAATCTCTCCTCTACCTTCCTCTCTCCTTTCTTCCTTTGAACCAAACAAACTGTAAGAGATGACAGTTGTAGGGTTGTTATCCAATTAGGTTAGTGATTGTTGGTTATATAAGGTAACATTATGATGTAATTGAGGATATAAAGAAAATGAATGAATTTAACATTATTTCCTTTGTACAATTAGACCATCAAGTGTAGCTCTCTATTAGTAGCCTAATTGATTGTCAATGATAAAGATGCATCCCGTCTGTATCATGCAAGATTCACAAGGAAACATGGCAGTACAGACCCCAGTTAGGCTCAGTAACATCCCAAAATGAGTCCAGAACCAATTCAACTAGTAAAAAAGTTAAATGCTGAACCACCAGATATAAAGAGAACTAGTGGAAACGAGGGAAGCAGTAAGTAGCATAAGATAAAGTTGTTAATGCTCAAATTACTAACTGTTAAGCATGCCAGACAACAATAAATTTAACGCCATTATGCAACCAGCAAGGCTAGATCAACTGTTTATTTTCTGATATTTACATTGTTTTTCATTTGATGCTGTTTGGATAAACTTTTTTAGAAACATTTTTAAGAGAGAAAAATAGGAAGGAAAAATGGAATTAGCTTCTCTGTAAGTTAAAATTAGCTTAAGCACAACTAATTTGTAGAAGCTCTTTGCTATTTGTGGAAATGTTTCTAGAAAAGTTTATCCAAACCCACTCTTAATACAAGCCTCACAAAAATTTATGATTTAAGAAATCAATCATTCATTTTCCTTTTAGCATGCTGAGGCTCACAGAATATCTAATTTGTAAAGTTAGTGACTAGTAACAACCACAACCCAATTAAAAACCTTTATCAACAATTCGCACGAGAAAGATTGAAACGCAATCGGCACATAATACATTTCTTAACATGATAAATGATTTCTTTGGATGTTAGTTTCCAACAAAGAATGATCACGAGAATAGGACCAGAGTACTACAAAACCAGAATACCCAAAACAAGTATAAAATATTCCCTTTTTGTAAAACATTTCTAGTATACGGTTTTCCCTTGTTTTATACTTCTACAAAATATTTTTCGTTATCATCCCATTGCATTGGAAATTTCCTACAAATTTTCCAAGTAATCGGGCAACCTTAACCGGACAAAAGTAGAATGATTACAATGAAATTCATGAGCAAACCCTGATTCCTTTACAAAAAGAATCTACCAGAAAAGTAAAAGAATTTTGAACCATCCTATATTTCTTCAATGCCATTTTCCATGAGTGTGTAACCAGGTGGTATACAAACTGTAGTGAATTTGCACCTATAAAGGAAATTAAATCTCTTGGAGCCTGAGGGGTTTTATTCTTTACAGTGCCTTTACTAGCTACATCTAACATTCTCCTTTCCATTGGTAGCAAGCCTTCACAAAAGTATTGTCGAAGAAATCATTCTAAAATCTTTGCTCCTTACCTCCTTGTTTTGTCGTAACCCCAATACTGCCTTTTCTTTCAACTTCAGTGTATTCTCCATTGTCCAATTTAAATTTTGAGACAAATGATGGATCCATACCAATAAAAAGCTTTTCTATTTCCTTTCATATGATTGCTGGAGCCACTGTTCCAAATACCCCACATTCTTATA